TATTGGAATAATTACTTCAAATTCTTTTTCAATTGTATTGTTTGGTGATTTAATAATTTCTTGAAGATTAAAATAACATCCACATACATTATCTTCATGATTATATGCTGATTCCCATTGTGTATAAATTCCTGGTTTATAATCTAATTCTTCTTGTGCTTTTAACATTCTAATAGCCGCATTTTCATATAATGCTTCTGTTTGTTCACATGCTGTTTTCTTATTTCTTGAATATACTCTATATGCATCAAATAAATGTGTTGATGATTTTAATCCTACAAAATATTCTATTGCTGTTAATCTTCCTGTTTGAAATGCTGAAATATCTCCTTCTTGTGTATCACTTATTTGTGTCCAAAATTGTTCTGTTGGTTTAATTTGAATTCTAACTAATGCTGTAATAGATGATTTATCTATATTTGTAATTTGAATTGATTCATCTGTTAATTTTACTTTAGTATACATTCCTTTTTGTACAGGACATGGTGGATCAGATGAATCAATTGATAAACATTTATTATCATGAACACCTGAATTAGCTTCAAGTATTCCATCTGTATAATTAAAGTATTTAATAAGGTCGCCTGTTTCTTCTTGATCTAATGCTTTAGTAACGTTATAGTTCATCTTCTTTATTTTGATTTATTAGTTCAATCTTTTATTTCATTATGAAGTTTGGTAATTGGAAAAGATTCAAAGAAGGATTAAAGAAATTAGCAGCTGCATTAGCAGTTGGTGCCAAATTAGGTGGAAATATGATAGAAAAAGCAAAACCACTTATTTCTATAGCATCAGATTTTATTCCAGGTGGTGAAATAATTAAAAAAGGTACAGAAGTAATTAGTAAAATAGCAGAACCAACAAGTGAAGCATTAAATAGAATAGCATCAGGTGAAAATGTTATTGGTACAACTAAAAGATATTTAAATGAAATTAAAAATGAAATACCAAATGATATTACTAAAACAGCAAGTAAAATAATAAATCAAGTACCAGAACATATTAGAAAAACAAATAATGGAATACAACAATCTAATAAATCTATACCTGCACTTTTTGCTAATCCACTTAATGGTAATAATACAAATATAGATGAATATTCTGATAATGATAGTATTGATGATTATCTATAATTAATTAACTATTTTTTATTATTTGATATGACAAGATTTGGTGTACTAAAAAGGAATAAAAAAAGAGTAAAAAATATTGGAAAGAAAATAGCAGGAATAGGAGGAAAAGTATATAAATGGATAGGAAATGCAATGTATAAAGTATCTCCTGTTGCTAAACCAATATTAGGAATGTTACCAGGTGGAAGTATTATAACAGGATTATATGATCGTGGTGCTAATAATCAATATGTAAGAGGACAATTTTTAAATGATATTGCAGATGGAAAATCAGCTAAAGAAGTAATAACAAATTATAAAGATAATCTTGTTGATTATGTTATAAAAGGAAATAATCCATATGATGAAAATAATATTAATTCAAATCAAACAATAAATGGAATAATAACACAACCACTTAATAATCCTTCTAAAAATTCATCGTTACATCAAAAAATGTTACAAGAAAGTATAATTGGTAATGATTCACGTACTGCTAAAAATTTACAAAGTATAATTTATTCTATGCCAGAAGGTAAAACAAAACATTATTATACAACACAAATAAATAAATTTAATAAATAAATTTAATTATCATTTTTCTCTGGTTTACTTTCTTCTGTTTTTTTATCTCTTATTAATTTTCTATATGTTTTATTTTCTTCTTCTGTTTTTTCTTCTTTCTTCTTTCTTGGTAAATCCCACATTAAACCTTTTCCATTAGCTATTCTATATACAAGACTCCAATATGGTTTTTTCAATGCTAACTTCTCTTCTGGAGTAGTTTCTTCATCAATGATATAAATTAATTGTTGCATACAATCTATTAGTTCATCATTAGTCATATTCTTGTATTTTCCAAGGGCATAATCACCAATGATATCCTTTATAGTATTCATGTCAAATGATTAATGAGATTGATAGTGATGTTTAAATATATAATTTATCTCTTTTAGGGTCTCTATTTTTTATCTCTTTTTGATTCTATTTTATAACTTTATGACGTAATTACAATTATATAATGATGTGTAGTGATCTTTAAATGGTCATTAATTTAATGAATCTTCTTGATGTTAGTCTGAAATGTTTGAACATTTGTTTATTTGTAAATCTAATGTGGCAGTTTTATCTCTATTCTGGTCCCTTTTCATTTCTTCATTTTTTGAGTCTTTCATTTGGTATCCTTTGGGCTCTGATGGTATTAGAGGATGTTTTTGATGTTTATGAATGTCTGTCTTTATCTTTCGTAATTTTTATCCAACTTTATCTATTTGGTTTAGCAATGTGGTTTCATCTAACTTCTATTCCTAATAGTAGTATTGTGACTGTAACTAACCTTGATGACTATCCTAGTTATTATTATGAAGAGTATTATGATGTTTAATTCTTTTTTTTTGTTTTATATTTTATCTTTAATAACTTCATTATTTCTATCAATTACTGTTAGTAGAATAGTACCTTCGTCAATTTGTTCATTTTCTTTTCAATCTATTTGGTATTCACCAATATCTAATTATAAAAAATAAAAGATAAACAATAAAAAGAATTAATTAAAAATTTCCACCTGTCCATCTACTAGCTAATTCTTCAGGATCATCTTCACTTTCTTCTTCTTCACTGTTATCTCTACTAGCAATCTTTATCTTTTTCCCACTTTGGGTTGTAATGTATTTATTTTTTCCTTGTTGACTGATTATATTCTTACTTACATCAAAGAATTTTTTGTATATTTCATGGTCGTCTACTGCTATTCTTTTTGTTGGTTCTTCATCTATTATTGGCTGTTCTAATTGTAATGGAGGAGGTAGACTTTCTTGTTCTAATTGTTCAACTGCTCCATCTAATTCATCAATTGTATCATCTCCCATGTCATCTAAAATTAGGTCCTCTTCTACTTCATTCTCTAATAACATCTCGACCAATTTAGGATCTAATCCTTCATATTTACTTTTATCTTGCATTAATTCTGGATTAGGAGGTGGTTCTTTGAATAACTTTTCTTTAGTTTGGAGTACTACAGAGTTCTTTTCTAGCCAATCAAAATCTTCATATTCTTTGGCTGTCTGTTGTAAAGCTTTCCAACTACCTGGATTGAGTACAAGTATAGTAGGAAGTGAAGTTACTCTGGCATGAGAGTATTTTACGTTTACTGTTATTTGCTCTCCTCTTGTACTAATGAGTGATTTAAACTCTGGCCATATAATGTCATTAAGGTTGGCGTCATCAAATATGCGAATATCGTATTTTAAGCTTTCGTTGTGTCCGTCCATCATAAACCTCCCTCTGAATTCATCCACTTTGAGATCTTTAAGTAAGTCATTTACAAACTCAGTCTTGCCCATTTTTGTTTCGCTTACGATGACTAGTGTTTTTACTCTCTTTGTTTTCCCACTTAGAGCAGAATTTAACCATATCCTACTATTCTTTACTACTGGATTATCTTCTTTCCATGGTTGAAGTTTTATTTTAATACGTTGGTAATTGTCTCGACTATGTTCTTGTGCCCACATGCTATCGAATTTCTGAACGTTATTCATATATCCCTTTAGACTTATATTCTTTAAGTAAGCGTGTGCTTCTTCGAGGTCAGTCATTTTGAGAGCTTTACCTATATCAATATCCCCCAGTCTACCTCTGTTGTTGTTCATTTTTCCATCTTCTTCAAATACTGCGCCACTTTCGGGATGCTTCTTGGCTTGTCTTTTTAGGTATTCAATAATAGCCTTAAAACTTCCATCATAATTAGCATTCTCTGTTACTTTCTCGAAGAAAATGAAATGTTGTTCATTGTTAATTTGTATAAATGGTTTTTTTCTTGTATGAGCCATCTCTTCTAATTCAAAAAAGATATGGGCATGTCTGTTTGGTCCCTTTGTGGTCTTTCCTATGGCAATATATTTAATCAAAGCTCTTTTTGATTTGGTACTACACCACTGTTGCAATGCTTCTTTTAATGTTTTTAAACTTGGTGTTGGTGTATTTTCTTTGAAATTGATATTAGCAAAGCCATGCATTGAGCGGAATTCATAATATCTTCCTCTGGTTTGTGACATTGTGATTGTTTGAATTGTTGGTAATAAGATAGGCTATTTATATTAGTTGGAATTTTCTAATTTGTCTGTTTGAGTGTATGTGTATCTGTATGAGACCATTGAAATGTCCATTTAATTATAACTATAATAAAAATATAGTAAGTTAAAAATAGAATTGTCTGTTTATTGTGTTGGGTACACGTTTTATAGGTTATTTAAAGTTTGGTACTTTTTATTTCATTCAATGTTCCCTCTTTTGTCGAGTATCTTGCAAGACATCGACGAAACGTGCAAAGATCTCCTCGATAATAAAGATTTGGATTTAGACTCTAAATGTCTTGTCTATTCTATTCTCTATTTTATGAGGAGATTTGAGGAGACTCACTATAATTATAGTGACATCCTCTTCTTCTACATTACAGGTTTCGTTGATTCTTGCAGAAAAGACGAGAGATTTAATAAACTTGGAGGTTTATTAGAGTTATTAGAGAACTTCAATTTCGTTAATGATATTGATGATTAATTTATTATTTATTTTTTATTTCATTCAATTTTTTAATTAAACAAAACAATCATTAAAAAGAATTTAATTAATTTTAATTATCTTTTTCTTGAGGTTGTTTTGGTTTCTTTTCAATCTCTTTAAATGCTTTAGTTAATCTTTGTCTTTCTCTATCTATCCTTCTATTATAAAAGGCAGACAATATATCTTCATAACCATTTCTAATTTCTTCAGTTATCTGGTGAAGATCGTCAACCATCCTTGCTTCATCTTCTAATAACATGTTATATCTTTCTTCGTCTAAATAATATTTCTCTTCCCTTTTAAATAATTCTATGAAGTCATCACAAAGGTCTCTTAAAGTGAACATGTCATTAAAATAATTCTTTAAATCTGATACTTTAATATCACTGAATTTACTTGTTAATATCTTATCTTCTGCGTCCATCCTGTATCTTGTCTTATCTTATCTGTTTAAATATTTAGATCTAACAGGCATTCAAACAGACAGACAGACAATTCAGACAGACAAAAGAAACAAAACATACATTTTCTATTTTTAATTTATTATATATTTACTATAATTATAATATGACAGCCATTTCTATTACCTCACACAGACAATAATTTGTTATTTAAACACACTTAACTATGTTACTGGCATTCAATGCAATACAACCATCCTAAATTAAATTTATCTATTTTACTTGATACAATTGCTAGGGAAGTTCGACAACAGTTAAGTCGAGCCATTGATGAAACAGCTCAAATTGTGCTTTATGGATTGGTATATTGGTTCCGTATTTGGGACCATGAGTATAATCTCAAACCATCCAAGCATATGCTTCAATGGCTCGACTTCCTTATTAAAGATGTCGGGTCAAATTTACTCGACTCTAAGCCTTTAGTTTATTTGCTCACCCATATTCGTACTGGTTATTATGAACCAGATATAGAACATTTTAATTGAATGTTTTTTCTCGAAGTGTTTAAATAGCAAATTTGTTTATTTTTAGAAAAGCAATAACAAAATATTAAATAACATTTTCTAAAAATAAACAAAACATAAATAAATTAATCAATTATTTAATTATAATAATTGAGTCTTTCTGCGTTTTGGTTTTGTCTCTTCTTTCACACTCTTCTCTAATTCTTTTTCTTTACTCTCTTCACTTCTTAATTTACTTATAATTAATCTGTTTTTCTTTTCCATCTTTTTAATGTCATTTTTCAATTCATTAATAATATCTAAATGGGTAATAATAGTCTTATTAAGAGTATACAATGGCTTTTCTCCAAAGACATA